CAGTGAGTGCCCAGGGCATCACCTTCCGGGGCTCCTGAGAGAGGTGAGAGTCACAGGTCATTCCTCTGAAGTTCAAATCCCTGATCAGATACCGAGAAGCTTTTCTTAAACAAGAGCTGCAAACAGCGCTGAACGGAGCTGGGCAAGAGGCCAGCAAGGAAAGCAGCGCGGGGGGACCGAGCTGTCCGTCTGTCCGTCTGTCCGTCCGGCTGCCTGTCCGTCTGTCTGCCTGTCTGTCCGTCCGTCTGCCTGTCCGTCTGCCTGTCCGTCTGCCTGTCCGTCTGCCTGTCCGTCTGTCCGTCCGTCTGCCTGTCCGTCTGCCTGTCCGTCTGCCTGTCCGTCTGTCTGTCTGTCTGTCCGTGCTGCTGTCCTCGGCTGATCCTGGAAGCAGCCCAGGTACTAGAGAAGAGGTTTCTAGAAAAGGCATCATGGTATTGCTCCTCCCAACCACCATGTTGTCTACTTGCTTTTGAAATACTCGAGCAGAACGTATGAGATACTCGAGTTCATGCAACAACATTAAGACCCGTTTTTCTAGATTTCGGGTTTTTTCTGCATCTTCACATTTTGTAGCTGTTCCCATTGTTCAGACACCTGAAGTTATGAATCCTGCTAAACTAAATATCCTTTCATAATCTTATGAAACTGTCTCATATCCTCTGATTCCAGATATTTTCATATTAATAAAATTCCAGTTTGAATAATCCAATAAAGCTCATTCTGGACTTTATATCTATTATGTACTGAGGATGATTATATTACTTTTCATATATATTGACCTGCATTAATGTGTGAAGTATTATCATGATATAAATAAAACCAGACAGAAATCTGTCAAACGCTTTTGGGTAGGCCACGAGATAGCCCAGATACCTCAGTTATATCTCCAGCTGTACATTATCTCCCCATTCCATGTTTTCCTTTTCTTTTTCAGGGAAGGAACAAGCCCGAGTCTCCCATAGCAGGACTCCCTGAGTCCAATACCACACTTGCTGACTGCAGAACATTTTCTGTGCCATGCTTCACCTGTGTGTAAAACCGGCAAGATGACATTTCCTGTGCTCCTGGCTCCATTGTGCTGTTCATGTCTGGAAATAGCTTTGAGTTAAAAAGTGTGTTAGGATAAAAGGAAGCAAATTGTCCTTCGAGGCAGTGCATTTTCTGTGCTACAGTGAAACCTGCATTACAGAAAGGGAAATTCTGCTGAGCTGTCCAGAAAACGAGGAGCAGCAGTAGATAAAATCCTAATTTCTCTCTGAGTGATTTAAGAGAGTATTTCTACAGCAACAAGCAAAGTTGAGAGAGCTACAGCTTAATGATACACCTTATAGTAGAAATGCCTGTCATATTATGTTAAAGCAAGTGCAGTGCACTCCTGGTTCCAGGCCAATGTGGATGATAATATTATGATGTGCTGTAAAGCAGCTTCATTCCACCTGGGCTCAGTGCTAAGCAGTTCACAGCTACACTGACCACAAACTGGAAACAAAATTGTTGTGGTAGTAAGAGTGGTGCTTTTTTTCTCTGTTTTGCTCTTTCTTTATCTGTGCTGGGAATGACTGAGGGCATTAGTATTCTGATGAAGAGAGGCTGTGACAAAGCCTGTGACTACAGGGCCTCCTGACTCTGCGATGCTGCCAGTGATGGAGAGGGGACTGACTCCGATTGCTCCGGGCTGGAAATAGCCCCACCATGGTACGGGGAGAGCAAACAGATGGGCGATTCATAGTGTGGCATCGTGTTGTCAGTCTTGCAGTGGTAGTGTTAGCTTTGCACTGTGTGTGGAAGAATGATACCAGGTGAGGCAATAATTATCTTCAAGCAGGAATTGCAGATATTTGTGTGCTGGTTTGTGTGTGATGTGTGTGTTTGTTCACAAAAGAACAAGTTCTATACCACTGTGACTGTATCTTCTTTCTCCATGTCTTTCCCTGGCAGGATTTGGCAGCCTCATGCAGGATGTGCTGTGGTGTTTTAGTCAAGTAAAAGGAACTATAGATATTGGGGTGACAGAAGGTAAGTTTATTTTTCCTTTTGTTGCTGCCATCAAAAATAACTTGCTTGTCATGTACAGCTTGTCTAATGGGTGTGCAGGGAGGGTGTTGGAAACTGCTGGCAAAGAGCTAAGTTACACTCTCTTCATTTCTGCCTTCATTATGTTCTTATAAACTTGAAAGAGATGGGTCTCTAAAATTACCTATTGATTCAGAAAATTCATTTGAAGGCATTATGGCTTAATCATATCTGTAGTCTTTGAAACAGATTTCCTTTTGGTTTTCAGCTGTTATTTACAGAATTTTTCAGGGAATTACAAGACAGTCTCTCCCACTACAACATCCATTACTGGAATCAGTTGGATTCTGTTTCTGGGTAACATAACTTTAACTTGGTGCTCATTCTCGTATCTGGAGTTAAAATAAAATGCACTGCATACACTTCTACAGATCCACATCTGTGTGGGCAGGACTGATGCAGTTTGAGGATTTAGGAGCACATCCCCTTTCACAACCAGTAGCTTCCAGGGTGGTTTGTGCTCCTCAGTCCTTGGGCACTTCTCTCTCTGCCAACACACCTGCTTGGCATTCAGCCAGCAAAACTGTACAGTTGAAAAGAAAGAAATACATTAAATTTGGAAGTTGAATTTATTAATTTATTATGTAATTAAGTTCTGTTCTTCCTATGACTGTTTTGGTTTAAACTTCTTACCAGGCATTTTCCTGCACTTTCTTGTTCTCATTTCACTTTTCATCTTCCTTTCTCTCATTACATTGGCCATTAACCCATTAATTCCTTTCCTTTTCTATTTAATGTTTTATTCCCCCGTATCCCTCAAGGATAATTGAATCTTTTATCACACCCCTCTTCTTTTAACCCTCCCAGTACAGGCAGTGGTTTTGTGCCATAGGGAGGCCAAATCAACAGTGGTGAAACCCTGTCTTCCTATGTGGAGAGCAGGTTGGCTTTGCGTTGCTGCCAGTGACCCTTTGCAGTTGCATGTTAATTTCTACCCTGTTTTCTTTGGAGCACCAGGGGACACGAGCTGGGTTCTTGGGGATCACCCTGCAGACTGATCCCAACATGGACAGGCCCGATAACTGGAATGTGAGGGTGTTGCCCATCAAGACTAAGTTGCACTGGCAGGACTGGGCCAATGTTTTCCACCAGAGTGTGGACACAACTAATAGAATTCCATCCCTCCATCTGAATGTTTTTGGGCTTGAGAATAATGATGGGAATTAGCTTGCTGGCTAATTAGCTTGCCAGTGCAGCAATGCCCAAGAAAATGTTGCCAAAAATGCAACTGCTCACAGCTCCTTGTGTGGATATTAAGATAATAAATGCAAGTAATGGGTTGGCCTATTAGATGTGTTTATTTTGTTGTATTGCCTGAAGTGTGATGCTTTCTTTAAAAGCACAGTCTCGTAAGACTGAGGTCTGAATCAGCCCGAGCCACTGACAGCAGAGCTCTGACATTCTCCTAGTGGGAATGCCACTCTGCTGGGAGTACTGTCATCTGTTTTGCCCCAGTGGCAGCTCTCTGCTGGGCTGCTTTTGCAGAGGAGCAAAACCTGTAACCTCTAGAGACTACAGTGGGGCACAAAACTCATGAGAGTGAACAGACTGGTCTGTGTGCAGTGGATGAGCACGGCCCTGGTGCAGCAGCAGGGCCCTGCAGACGCTGTCCTCAGGTGACACAGCGTGTGCTGCCCTCATCTCAGGATATTCACCTGCGTGTGTTGAGTGTTCTCAGCTGCCCTAGCCTTCTCTGAAGGCATCCCAGCTCCAGAACATTAGTTCAATAAGTTGCTTGAAAATTCACATTATCTTCCAGGTTTTGTTGTACATTATTGTGAAAGTGGTAACTGAGCTGCTGTGATTATTAGAGATAAGTAATTGCAGTTTTCATATCTGTCATGTGGTTTCATTATGCACATCACACCTAACTTGCCTCTGATTGCTGGAGGTGAGACTCATCACCTTCTCAGGTAAACCTGGATTTAGTTTCTAGGTGCAGTTAAACAGCAGAGCTGCTTCAGACACAATTGTTTACATTTCTAGGCTATCATATGAAATATTTTCATTGTGTGAGTGACCGACACATAAACTGACTTTCCTAGAATGCTTTATAAAATGCTGTCTCTTTATTTCCTATCTTGTTTCTTGGAGTGGACTGCAGACACCCAGTAGTACACAACAGCTTTCACTTCTGCCTGGTGCAGTCAGGACAAGCGCTCACAACACAGACCTCGGGGTTTTTTTTCTGCATCCAGAGAAGGTTTAACAAGAAAGATGTTGAAGTGAAATGAAAAGCTCCTCTCTTAATTGGCACAGGAGTTTTCCATCTCTTTGGTATAAATGCATTGGTGCTGTGATCTGCTAATGACAGTAGAGACCCTGCAGGCAGCTGCTGACTCCGGGCAGCCCCATGACCCGGTGCTCCACGGGAGGCGAGAAGGGTGAGCGGTTTGGTCCTAACCCAAACCCTTGTCTTTAGGGTAATGAAGCAGCAGGAAAACTGGGGGTGGGAGCATCAGCAGTTCACCACATTGTTTACTTCCAACCTGCCCTCCTGACACTGCTGTTTTCCATTCTGTGCCCCTGAGCACTGAGCTGGGAGCGCGCGGGGCTGGGGGAGGTTTCTGCCTTAAAGAGCAGGCTGTGATTGAATGATCCGTATCTGTTGTGCGGAGATGCTGCAGGTTTAGCCGGGTATTGAAGAGTGAACTAGGAGCACTGCCTGAGAGGAAAACACGGTTTTCCTCTCTGGTTGGTTTGCCCGCCGTGCCGGTGCCC